TATTACACAGGCTTGTTTAAATGTTGTGCAGCAAACTTTAAAGGAGCTTCTTCATGCTGTTTCTTCAGCAGTGGAGTCTTGCGTGTTGAGCGTGCATACAGGCCATGGTGGTTCAGTGCATTAMTTATTGTTTTCTTTGAAACAATCGTACCTGCTAATTCCAGGTCTTTCTGAAGCTCTCCACAAGTGGTCCTTGGCTCTTGCACAACTCTTCTGATAATCTTTTCACTCCTCTGTCAGAAATCTTGCGAGGAGCACCTGGTCGTGGTCGGTTTATGGTGAAATAATGTTCTTTCCACTTCTGAATTATGGCCCCAACAGTGCTCACTGGAACCTTCAGAAGTTAAGACATTCTTCTGTAACCGATGCCATCATTATGCTTTGCAACAATAAGGTTGTGAAGGTCTTGAGAGAGCTCTTTACTTTTACCCATCATCAGATGGTTCTTGTGTGATACCTGGCCATCATTTGGGACTGAACCAGCTGATATTAACTTGCACTGACAAGGGGCAGGCTTGCTTTCTAATTACAGAGAGAGTTCAGCTGGTGTCTTGGCTTTCCATGCCTTTTTACACCWCCCTTTCTTCMTGTGTTCAATACTTTTTCCCTGTGCCATTCCACATTATTACAAATAACTTCATTTCTGGACATTTATGGTTTGATTTCTTTGTATGTATGGAYCACTTGGGTTGTTACCRACATCTGGTGAAAATTTCATGTCATTAGCACCTCTAGTAATATATTTACTGAGAAAAATGGTGACGTGTTCAATACTTATTTTACCTGCTGTAGTTGCTTGATYGTGGTATAGAACTGAACTATGTGCCTGGAAAATACATAATACCCCCACTTTAATGCATCTGAACTACTAACCATTCATCAACCTTACCTAATTCTGTTCTACCCTCACTGGAATTTGATTTCAACAACTAAAGAGCAAGGAAGGTGAAATTTAAATGTGTTGGCATTACGATTTATTGACTGGTTAAAAAAAGAAGAGAATATTGGGATCATTAAGTCCAACTCTGCTGCCATCAAGCTGATGAAAGCCTCCATACACACAAATTCCATAATATCTGATGTGTGTGTGTGTGCTTGTGTGTATAAAAAATGTGATAAGGTAGATTGACTTCTAATAAAAACCTTAGAGGTGTCTATTGACATCCATATAGCACTGCCCTCTGTGTCCCTGGCAACCTTACTAGGACTGTGTGCATTATAGGAAACGTAGAGGTTTCTTTAATGAGACCATAAAATATTGGAATATATATAAATATATTTTCTTGTTTTTGCTGTTTTCTGTGACAGTTTTCTATTTTGCAAACTGTGCAAATGTTTGATAATACAGAAAGCTGCGACTGTACTTTAGAAAAGGCTAAACAAGGAAACTATGAGTGAACCAGTTTACCTGTGTGTGCAAAAATCTCTACATGTTCATTCCTTCCTCACGTGCACACACCCATAAAACATACTCACTCACAAACACATGCCGGGGCAGGTTAGCCCTCCTCTACCCCAGCACCTGCTCCGCTGAAGGTGAAAGAAGTGCTCACTTGAGCTCATTGAAAAGTAGATGTGACAGTAAATTTTTCAGGCCCTTGTGAGATGGGAGATCTTGTTATAGCAGTCAGGATGGGGGTCAGGGCAGTGGCTGCTTGATGATTGAGGAAAAGAGAAGTAAATTCATTCTGCTTCGGGCACTTTGTCAAGTGCCAGTAGCTTACCGTTGAGAGCCACTCACCCATCACCGTGTTACGGCCCCAGAGGTCACATCCACCGCCATAAATCTGCCTCGCCTCCTCGCCTGCTAAACCTATTGCCTTACTCCGATGAAGCAGAGGCAGGAAGAGATGCTGCTGCTGCTGTTGCTCATAGTCACTCACATGAAAAAGAACACAGAGAGGAGAATATAGATTCTCCTTTTTGATGTTACTGATGGTGTAAGCAGAACACTGCTGTGCTGGTACACATGGGGCTATACATTTGGATGAATAGTTGTTGGTGAAAAGATGCACCGTTCTTAAGTAAGTATTTAACCAAAACCAACATTTCGCACAAAGACAGGATCTCCAGAATTGCCTCTATATTTTTGCTTTGTCACTTTTTTCAGTTCACCTTTTGTAAATTTAAGATTTTTCTCAAATTCTTGATGATCATCTGCCTCCCATACAATTCCACTCTATAAAATATCACCTTGGGTTCCAGTTTGTTCTCCTGCTGGAGCTCTGACTTGTTAGCACATTGATGGTTGATAATTAAGGTGGCACCACTAAACCAAATAAGTGCATTTTTGCTTTAATAAAAACAAAAACAAAACCTCCCATGCAGCTCAGAGGATGCAGTAATACTACTTTGCAAATACCTTTTTATTACAAATATTCATTTTAATAATAATAATAATTTTATTAACACAACTACATTGTATAAATATGGGATATGTATTAGTGCTAATATATGCAACATACTAGAACATTTCTGTGATTTTGTTTGATTTTTCACTTTTACTCAACAGCAAAAATAATAAAAGACAATTACAATAGTAGGATCTGCAATGCTCAATCTACACTTTCTTCTTAGAGTAATTAAAAAGATACATATTGAAAAAAAGACTATCATAAACAATTCTGAAACAACTTCATGGACATTTTATAAACTTTGAAAAGTTACTTCAGTCTAAAACATGGCTTTAAATGTTTGAAAAAGTATTTTTTCATGGTTTTCCTTATGTTCTCTCATGAGGTCACATAAAACAGACATGCTCATACATAAAACCCTAAGGGATTCTGCTCTCTGCTTCTAAATTGATAATTGATACATTACCATGCCATTATTGATGTTTTAGCCATATGCTAACATTTTTCTAGGATAGCGGTAGAGTCAGAAGTAAGAAAAAGGATCTGGGTCTGGTGTGGATATGTGTATCTGTATACGTGTGTTGATTTTTGTGCATGTGTTTTTCCATACTTCTACAGAATTTGAGGGATTGTTCCTTTATGGAGTTTGTCAGCATGCACCATACTGTCATTACACAACCATCTGTGGTCATGTGCATTCAGCTGTCCCTGTGAACATGTTTGTACAAGTATGTGCACATGCCTTTCAAGCTTGTAGTTTGTGACCACCCGACTGTTTTCAATATAGTGTCTTATTAGAAGATGATTATGTGGCCTGCATCTGGCTTATTTCAGCAATTGACTGAAATTTGGAAAGGCAAGGGGCACACTAAGGAAAAAGGAGTGAAAACTTCCTGGACCCAGGTTTAACCATCCACCCCTCACCTTTAATGTAGCCTCATTCTTTTAGAGAGTTATTTTATTCAGACTGGTATTTTTCTACAAACACACAGGTAGAATGTGAATTGGACCCTGAACTGTGTGGTTGATTCTGTTTGCATTCAAGGTACACCACTAAAAACTTATAGATTTCCTTTGTTTTTACAAATTCAGACATTTTACATTGTGTGTCTGTACTAAATAAAGGATTGAAATAATGATTAATTAAACTTTTTTTTTACACAATTCAACTATCTTTGTTGAATCATTTGCCAGAGGCAGCCACAATAATGGTTAGGTGTATCAGCCCAGACCAGGACTATTAACCATGCCTGATGATAAATACAAAATTATGAAAAACATTTTTAATAAAGTATTTTTAAAAAATGGCCCAAAATTGATTGTCCACATTTCAAACATGTACTTTAGCAGATTAAAATGGAAAAAAGGTGGGAGTTGCTTCTAATAAGGTGAGTAGAGTAGAAAATAAGCCAAGCTGGGTATGATTTATTTTTATTCACCATTATTTAACCAGGCAAATCCCGTTGATATCTCAGATCTCTTTTTCAAGGGAGGCCTGGACCTGAAGGCAACCTATTGTACATGTTTTTAGGAGTGGGGGAAACCGGCGTACCCGGAGAAAACCCACACAAACACAAGGAGAACATGCAAACTCCGTACAGAAAGACCCCAGGTCTGAACCAGGGATCGAACCCAGGACCTTCTTGCAGTGAGCCATCGGTGCTAACCACTGAGCTGTCGTGCAAATGATGTGGGCAAAGGGGGATAACAAAATAATGTGCATGGTGAAAAATGAAATTTAGCAAGTTGTGCACATAAAAAATTGTGCTTTTTACAAACTGTCTGTTCAAATTGTGGTTTATAGTCTCACTGGTCATTTGGTTGCAAACACTCAGATTTTAGTAAGACTACAACAGAAAATCTGCCTATTTTCTAACAATTTTCTTGCAATTTTGACACGCTAGCTAGTTTCCAACAGATCCAATTTTAAACAGTTTGCTGTGTTTTAGCAACAGAATGATTAAGTTAAGTTTAAATTAAATGTGCTTTTAGTTTTCCACATATACTATTTTTGTATTAATTTTGTCGTGTCCACCTTCCTGCATTCTATAAACTGTCTCAAAATTGCAGAGCCGACATTTTAGAAGGATGAACTCCTTCAGAGCTCTGGCTTCTCTCCTTTACACTAACCACCTTCCTTCTTGCCCTCTCCCATGTAGATGAGACAGAGACAGAGATATTTGGCTATAGGTCGTAGCAGTTCTGGTAGGCGGATGTCATGTAGGGACACAGAGAAATTAGTTATGATGATAGTAGATGGTTGCCATCCCACAATCAGCTCAGCAGTTGTCCTGGGAGATCAATCCAGACAGGTGGTGAGCTGAACAGCCATGACTGACCCTGAATGAGAAACGAGACAGAAAGTGTCACATGGGACGGATGAGTTCACGACAATGAAAAACCTACCAAGGTTTATACTGTAAGCATGTATTTAAAATAAAGCATGTACAATTTTTATGTTTTACATTCAGTGTGTCTGCTCTGGATATAATGTAAAAACCTTATTCTCCACTATGCAGATAGTCCATTGTTAGCATAACTATGTTATGAGTTGTTTCTTGTGGGTTTTTTTTTCATATTGGTAATTTTAAGAACTGCACCAAGAGATGCAGGAAATTACCAGTGTATTTATTTGTCTGTCTTCAGATCAGTTGCTGATTGCTGCTGAACCAGAGATACCAGAAAAGTTCCTGATTCAAACTTCCAGCGGCCCTCATCTCGGCAGTAAGGTAAAGATTGTGTCATGCCTGTGTATATATATATAAATATATATAAAACAAACAAAGTTAGTCAATGTCAAAAATGTTTCTTTTCTTTGTTGTTGTTTTTCTGTTAAAACATCAGATAAATTTCATAGATTCTTTAAATCTTTAGTGTAGTAAATAAGAAATTACAAAACAAACCAACTGATAGGACCTGAACAAGGATTTTCATTCCCTTTAATTCAAATTAATCACACATCCTCACCAGTAGTTCACTTACTGTCTTTTCAGTGAAATAAAACACAATCCAACCTTCTACTCCCCTGCATCCCCCTGGTGGTCATCACTAGAACCACGTCAGTCTCTGCCAAAATCCTTTTTTTTAAGGCTATCCTTTTTTCTAAATTTAAACTGCATTTAAACCCAGTTGTAGAAAATATGATATCTAGAATTAAATGAAAGTTTTGGAGTGATCCTGGGATGGAGAGTGACTTTAGGGAAAATTAAATGTGATCAACTACGTTAAAGATAATATTTTGCTTTTAATAAAAAGGAATTAAAAGTGATGAAATAAAAGTGAAAAAACACTAAATTAGAACTAGTTGTTCCAAGTCCTTTTAAAAACAATACATGAATTTGACTAAATAAAATAAAACCTCAACTCAATGATCAGATGACTTGTTTTGCACTCTCCCTCCTTCACCTTTTTCTCAGCCTCTTTCTGTCTTGGCAAACAGCTACTGCACAACAACTTTTAACTGTCTGACTTACAAAGTGATGGAAGCTGACGCTGTTCTCCGCCTGGCTTTGTTTTTCTTTGCAGCTGTTGGGTGGTCCGTGTCTCTCCCCCTCTCCTCTTTTACCCCTTTGCTCTCTCACTCATTGTCAGGTTCACTCCGTCTGTTTCTCTTTGAGCGCTGTGGGATCCAGGCATGGCCCGAAACCCAATACCTGAGTATACACAATTAAGTTCATGACAGAGGTTATTGAGGGGAAGCATGGTCTCGTTCTACAAAATGTGCAAGTCAGGATAGGAGGGTGTCAGCTGTTCATATGTGGCTGGTTAGTTGGTCAAGGTTAACTAAGTGCTGGAAGGTGGAAATAGAGTGTGTTTGTGTGTGTGTGTTTGTGTGTGTGTGCATGCGTGTGTGTGTGTGTTTGTGAGTGAGTGGTTTTGCGGAGTCGGTCTTGTAAGCTTGTTTGTGTTATCAGGCTCAGCTGTCCAACAATTGTATAAAAAAACAAGGAATAGTGTAAAGATGTAAAACTTCAACATTTTTACCTTTTTTAAAAACTTACTACAAACTGGACTGTTTTGTTTTCTTTTTTAAGATAGATTTGGTGGAGAATGCAGCAAAGTTTTTTTTCCCCTTCATTTTAATTTTAGTTCATTTGTATTACTCTGTGAAAACTTTGCTTGTTCGTATAAATGCATATTAGGAAGCTTGGTAAATCTATATTTCTATTTTTACAAACTGGATAAATAATGATATTTTTGATACAGCATATTAGGTTTTAAATGAACCATGATTTTTTTTTCACTTTGGAAAGAATCCATAGATTTGTAAGGTCTGTGTAAAAAAAATGTGTTCCTGGTTTTGCCCTGTAGAGTTTCCCCCCACTGACCCTTTCATCCTGTTAAGTGTTTCAGTGTTGGACCTGTTAACCGCAGCTCCCTCTGAGCACCATTCACACGCGATTGGGAGTCCCATGACAGGCCAGCTGGAATATCCAGTCCACCCCAATTTATACAGAAAAACACAAATCCCTTGTTGAGCCCCTACTGGCCAGTCAGCATGTCAGTCTTCCAGAGGGTGGGTTCTGAACTTGGATTTGTGGATAGAAATGTATGTGTGTGTGTGCGTGCGTGCGTGCGTGTGTGTGTGTGTGTGTGTGTTTGTACGTGGCCTTCCTGCTCTGGCCTGTGTTGTGAGACTTGTCTGGCAGTCAGAATATTGTGTCAAATACAGATGAGTTAAACAAATAAAGAGATAATAGCTAATTTGCTTAAATAACAGCAGATACATTCAGTCTTTTTCCACAATGAATATGTTGTATGATGTATACAAATCATTTCCAACACAGATGATCCTCCATAGCATCCGTAAAGCCAGTGGTTCTCATGAATTTTCTTGTCATTGAGCTGTCTATTCCTTAAACTTCCCTGTGTTATGATCCGTGTTTTTCTTTTGTTTATTTTGTTCCTTGAGTTTTATCTTTTAAATTGATTCCTTTCATGGTTTTTGGTTTTTGTTTTGCCTTCTTGTGTTTTTGAGTTCTTGTGTTATCAGGTATATTTGTGTAACAATACTTTCCCTAAGTTCAGATTTTGACCAGTCTTGTTTCCCCTCTATTGATCCATGCGTCATTGGCTCAGTTCTCCTTAGTTGTGCATTTGCTCCTGCCCCGCCCACTCTCACCTGATCCTCAGTGTCTCTACCCAGATGTTTGTTATTGTCCCTGATTATTGTTCCTTTATATTCTGCACCTGTTAGTCTTCCCGATTTTGTACCAACATTTGTTCTAGCAATTGTTTATTTATTTATTTATTTATTTATTTATTCATTCATTCATTCATTCATTCATTCATTCATTCATTCATTCATTCATTCATTCATTCATTCATTTATTCATTTTACCCTGCCACATCAGCTTTTACTTTTATTTTTTGTTAAAATTATGTTAGTTCACTCCCGAGTTGTCTGTCTGCACCCTTAGGGTCAATTCTACACCCACAAATGACAGTCTAATTAGACAGTTTTTTTTGTTGTTTTTGTCTTACAAATAATATTCTTTTTTTTAAATGTATTTATTTTTTTTACAAGCCCGGCTGAAAAAATTCCAAAAATGCTCAAACTTGTATTTCTGTTCACTGTAGTAACCTTTTAACCAGTACATTTTATTTATGTAGCAACTTTTCAAGAATTCAAAATTTACAAGGGGTTTCACATAAAAAAACAAAACCATAAAAATAAAATATATCAAAAATAAAAATGAATTAATACAAGAAACCAACATATAGATAATTGAAAACGTTTTAAAAAATGCTTCCCAGATTCTATTTTAAAACCATGAGTCTTCAGATGTTATCGTCTTTGTTGTTTTTTATTTTTAAGTCACCCGAAACACAGCAGATGTCTGTTGCACCACAGTGATATATCTGATCCATGACCTCATCAAACCCATGGGATCATTGGTGGGCTAAAACACAAAAATACTGTCAGCCACCATTAACAAACTCACCTTTCTCACCATTTCCTGACTCTCAGTGAGGCAAAGAGCCATTGTTTTTCTAAAACAATCCTTATTGAATTAAAAATTGGCACTGTTATTTTATTTGTGTGTGTGTGTGTGTGTGTGTGTGTGTGTGTGTGTGTGTGTGTGTGT